GGTTATCGACATTCAAAGACTGAAGGATGTCGGGGGGGATCAGCCAGTAAGTGTGATGTTTGTCCAACTGTCGGACGGTGGAAATAGCTAATCCTGCTTTCTAGTCATCTGTCGATTCGCTTTCTTTCCATCCCCATTATCCATTGCTGTTGTCCTCGGGACCTGCTGCCACTCTATTCTTACATCATATCGCACCCTCCGCGGCCGCCCCTAATCCTCTTCTCACGTCATTTCATATTCGCCGTACACCTATTCACACATCTGCTTTCGCTCCCCCTATCGGTAACAAGATATTTGCTTCCGGTCTCGGCGATATTTTCATATATGGGACCTTGACACAGGAAAGGTTGACAAGGTAAATGCTCCGCCGACAGAAAAGAGGAACAGAAGTCCATGGAAAGATTTAAGCTCTCTCCTTGCGGACGGTATGTGGGGCTTGTTGGCACGTCGCGCAAGGGCGGTGGTCTCATCAACGTTCTGAATTCGGGTACGGCACAATGGATTGCACAAGTTCGCGTGGATGGCCAGGGAGGCGTTGCGGACTTTGCCTGGTGGGGTGATGGTGAAGGCATGACGGTCGTCAGTAAGAACGGTGAAGTATCCGAATGGGATGGCAGTTTGAATCAAGTGGTGGCCCGCTGGATGGATGCCGGTGCGGTAGGCACGACAGTCCTTGCTCTTGGAGGACGTTCCGGACGGACACAGTTGGGAGGCGACCGTTGGATTGCAATCGGCAGTTCTAGTGGAGTGGTTAACGTCTATGATCGTCGTGAATGGGCCGCAGCATATGCAGCACAATCTTCTTCGGCAGATAATAACACTCCAGCTATTCCACGCAACCCTGAACCCGTACGTGCACTTGACCAGCTGACGACGCCAATCAGCCACCTGGTGTTTGCTCCGGATGGTCAGTTCTTCGTAATGGCTAGTCGCTGGAAGCGCGATGCCTTGAGAATAGGTATGTCAAGCTTATTTTGCTTCCCTCCCTTCTGTTTTTACTAAGTTTAACGCATCCTAACCGTTACAGTTCATCTTCCATCCTGCACTGTATACCGTAACTGGCCCACGTCTAACACCCCTCTTGGACGTATCTCATCAGTCGCCGTCTCGCCCAATTCAGGACAGTTGGCCGTCGGCAACGAGCAGGGGCGTATTAGGCTTTGGGAAATCCGAGGATAAGCAACGACGAGCGAGGCAGAAGATCGTACATCATGTATATCTGTAAATAGAATACATTTGGATAACGAATTTAGTCCATTAGATTTCTTTGCCATGGCTCTCTAAGTTCAAAAGATAGTTTCTCAATCTCAGTCGCGCGACTATCTAGGTATACCTGGTTGTTCTCTAGACAAGTTGTCTTTAACTATTCCTCGATGAGGGTGTAGTAGAATATAGCAAGCACTAGGGCCAATCTGCTTCAGTATACGAAGGCAGAACGAATAGAAAGGAAGGAGAAGTCAAAGTTCCCCTTCCCCCCTCAATCTCGTGTATAGTTAGCCTATATCACCCACCACCGTAGCGCTGTATATACTTGCGCAAAGCTAACTCAATCGGTGGCCTTCCATTGGTTCTCTAACTAATCATTATGGAAGAGGGCAAAATTAGAATGCAGTTCATATTCGGCACTACCCTGTGAATGGGGACTACTACTACTTTGCTGTGTTTTACGAGAGCTCTTATAAAGCTCTTACTGGGGGTCCAGAGTGTGGCCCGGGGTATTGGCTGTTATTGTAGTTGATAGTAGGCAGCCGTAGTAGCGGTAGAAGAGGTAGCGGCAGTGGGTGCAGCTTGGCTATTACGAGAGTTTGCATAAAGATCGCTCTTTGCCCAGGGTAGGTGGCAAGGCTTGAATTAGTCCTAGTATAAAAGCTGCTAGTCATGAAATGGTCCTGGGAGACTATACCGCCCCCTGGGCATAAATTGGGTAGTATTATTGGGGGGAGTACTGCTAACTTCTCTCGTCACATTGGGACGATTCCGCTGTATTGAGGACGGCGCGGTGGGGTAGCAGGGTTCATAGTTGGAAGTATACAAGGGAAGAAACAGTCACAGAGTAGAATTGACTGATGATCTTTTCCAGTGGGCCAGATTAGAGTGATATTTAGCCATTCAATTCAATCTTGACCCCAAGCACTGAGTCCCAGATGCCGACATATTCTCCAGGTAAGGTAACGAGCAAACGGAGGCATATTTTGGGGGCATTGCAGCTGTTCCAAGGGCACTGTACTATCCTGATGGTGAGCAAGATCACGGGTCGTTCTAGTGGGAATGCCTCCATGCTGATAGCGGATGCTATTGTATGTCTTAGAGCCCCATATGTGAATCCCAACGCTGACTCAAGAGTGGCTAGACTCTTGCTGAGTCTTGGAAATATCCTCCAAGCACAAGACTGTTTAGTCCCAGAATCGTAGTTTGTTGAACGTAAGTTAATTCCCATATGTAAATGTGTGTAATCAAATAGTTATCTTTTGCCTTTTTTATTATACTCGCCTTTCCCGTATAAAAAACCCCATCGGTCTATGTTGTAAACCGAGCCATGTCCCTCGTGTTGATATGTTATCCCCTCAGAAAGAAAAAAAAAGAAATAAGAACAAGGACGTGATGATGTATCTCCAATGATTACGCCCGGAGTTAGATCAAGTCGACAACACCCACATATTAGATCAGACTCTGCATATCAGCCATATCCCGGATGCCACAGCTGATGCCTGCCTTGACCCGCTTCAATGTCAATGCAGCAATAAGAGCCGCTCCAACACCAGAGCCGTCTTCAGCAGCCATGATGACCACCTTGTCCTTCTCGTTAGGTGCCCAGTCCAAGATCTCGCGCAGAGCCTGAGCTCCACGGGCCTTGAAGTGGGGATATTTCGTAAAGACAGAGCCATCTGCGCCCACATGGCAAGACTCAATGTTCTTCTTCTTGCAGATGGCGGCCACACCACACGCCGACAGGCGAGCTGCACGAGTGCCGATCAACTCCGCCAAGCGACGGATCATTTCCAGCTCCTGCTGGGTGGCCTTGATGTTCAACTTGCGCTCCATAAGCTCCTCGGTTTCCTGCAAGTTCTCGTACGGATCCTCCTCAATGGCTGCGAGGAAGGACGCGTCCAGCAGATAAGGTTTCCGGAGCTGGGAGGTGTCTTGACCCTGGAAAATCAGACCAGGCCTCGTCTCCAACAGATCCAGGAGAGCCAGACGGAATATCTCTCCCAGATAAAGACCTGCGGTCATCTTCTCGAAAGCTTGCTGTCCTGGGCGAGGAGAGTCGCGGTCGATGATGATGTCGTACTTGGTGAGGGGCAGAACAACGTGCTCATTGTCAAAGGCACCGTACTCGCAGTTGATGGCTACAGGCATGTCTGGGGGCAGATTCTTGTGTGCAAGCTTGGGAACCGAGCCGCAGTTTTCCATATAGGCAGCGTTGACACCAGTGCCGAAAATACAGCCAATCTTCATGTCTGAGTCGGTGTAAGAAGAAGCGATCAGGGTGCCAGTAGTGTCATTAATCAAAGCAGCAACCTTAATAGGAAGGCCCTGGGCTAAAGTTAGTCATCCGGCTCTGGCTCAATTTCCAGAAAACGTACTCTTTTCTTGAGGATTGCCTCCAATGGGGGCACAACATCATGGCCCTCTACTCCGTCAATGTCGAATCCCTTGGTCCAACGCTGGAGAACACCATGATCAATGTAATCCTGTGTGGCAGGATAGGAGAAGGTGAAGCCCAGTGGTAGTTTAGACAGTTCCTCATTCTCGTGGTGGGCTTCAATGAACTGCTGCAAACAGTCCGCAATGTATTCCCACAGTTCCTCCGCGGTGCCCGTCTTCAACTCCTCCGGCATACGGTACTTGGACTGGGTTATGTCGAAAGCGCCCTTCTCTTCTGTCAAGGTGATCTCACAAACACGCAGGTTGGTGCCGCCCATGTCCAAAGCAAGGAAGGTTCCCTGCTCGTCGCCATCAGGGAATCCCATGACCCAGGTCACATTCATGGGCTGCGGAAATGAATTAGTCTTTGGGTTATGAGGGGCAAGGTGAAGTATCCAGATAAGAACTCACAATATTCCCCCCTCGACGCTTAGACCTGATCCGCTATCGATTAGCCTTCAACCTCCATCAGCCGAACGGACCAGTTGAAACCCACCCTTTTCGAGCTCTTTCACGAAATGGTCCGCAATCTGCTTAAGTTTGGCCCTGTCCACGGTAAAAACGTCCTCGAATTGCTTAATCTGCTCCAACAAGTTCTGGGGGAGCTCATGCATCGATCCTATAGACGGGATGCCGATTAGAAGCCGAATCGGTAAACCCGTGGCGGGGCATTGCTGATAACAAACTCACCCTTGCGGGATGGGGGGCGTTTGGGGCCAATTCCGACCATTGTGATGATGTTAGTTGAGAGATTAAGGGGAAGATAATAAAATGAGGTCGGTAAAAGTGAAGCGCGAGATAGATGGAAGGTTAATAGGGAAAAGAAGTGAAAGAGGGAGTTGTTTGGGGAAGGTTAAAGAGTTGAATGATATCAGCGCCGAGCGTGGGGCGGCAGTTGACCCTAAAATACGCATCACCAAGAAAATTTAAGACCAGAGCCCCGCAAGAGATGAAATCATGGCCGGACCATCAACTCACCGGTCCTTATTTGGGTATTGTTTCTCTCCAATTTGACTAAAATAAAATTAGTTTTATTCTACGAACCCCCCTTCCGTCCCCTTTTTATTCGCGTTGACTTTCTCATTCATGTTGTATGCCACACCTCCTGCACCATGGTAGATACCCCGCGGGTATTCAAACTCTCCGCATTTCACCTCCAAAGATCGGTGAAGGGCCAATTCCGTGACGTATCATTTGACAGGTTAGGGCTACAAGACGCTGTTGGGTACGAAGAACATCCATCATTGACTATAGAAAATAAATTCCAATTTAATACCGCCGTTGAATTAATTCCGTTCCTTCTCACCCGAAAAAATAATAATAATAATAATAATACTAATACTAATAACAATGACAATAATCGCAATAAAGGAACCGGACAGTCACAGGTCAATGGATCTCTCTCTCTAGCTCTCTCTTTTCTTTCCTTTTTTCTTTCTCCTTTTCTCAGGAAAAGGTAAAAACGACAAGATTAAATCAAACAAAACGGACCCGTCAGAAAGTCTAAACCATCAAGCCACAAAATAAATAAATAAACATTACCACAACGCCATCCACTCGAGCCACCAATGCATATGGTCATATGATTCTACGTCTAAATGGCAGATGGTTTCTTCTCTCGCGCTAAATGGGGGAATACATGTGCCAGGCCTTCGTAACTCTGTCGCCGCTCCTCGGTTAGAGCCTTCTTCTCTATGCCATTACTATGCTGGTCTAGATTCTGCCGCACTCGTTGTTGGTAGGCATCTGAGATACCTAAAGTGCGGTCAACCTCTTTGGTAAGGCGCTCTATTTCATCTCGCAGACGCTCATCTCTTGTCTGCGAAGGAGTGACTTCCGTATCTCGGGTTCCCTTATCCGGATTCGTGCTCTCCCAGAGCGATTCCAGTTCCTGTTCCCATCCCAACGCTCGGGCGAATTTCCTCACCCCAGCATCACAGTCTCCTAGAAGAAGGACGTCATCCGGTCGAGACCCCATTCCACCAACGCGCTCCATGTTAATGAGCACGCGGGGTGCCCCATCCCGACAAAATGCTGGTAGGCTAGCGAAAGGCTGCACGGAGAGACTAGTGCCCATAACAATGCAAAGGTCCGCCTGTTCTGGAAGCGTCCGGTTAAGGAAGAATTCCTCCGGTAATGCTTCGCCGAAGAAAACAATATCCGGTTTCACAAGCCCATTGCATTGGGAGCACCGAGGTACTTCACCCTCGTTAATGGACCGCTTCATCAATTGTTCGGGATATTCAGCCTTGCAGTCGATGCAGTGCTGGTTTGCAAAGCTCCCATGTGCCTCAACGATCATATCCCCAGGCACACCTGCCAGGCGCTCGAGACAGTCGATATTCTGTGTGAAATGCTTCATCAAAAGACCCTTGTCGTAGAGCAACTTGACAAAAGAGTGCGCAATAGTGGGTCGATATCGGCCGGGGGCCAGCTCCCGCGCCAATGCGTAGAATGGCCGCGGATTCTCCCTGAAAAAGCTAATGTCAAACACATCTTCAGGATCCGTCAGGTCAAGATGGGCCAGATTAGCATAGATTCCCGTTTCTGGGGAACGAAAATCGGGAATGCCCGCCGAGGTGCTAATCCCAGCGCCCACCTATCGTAGACCTTGTCAGTCGGAATAGTGGGGGGAAGGGAAAATTCGGGGAGGGTTACCATCACCACAATTTGGCAGTCATCCTTTGCTTTGATATATTTAGCAACCGCCTCAAGGGTCCGAGCTTCTAGCGCGGACGAAGGGGTATCTTCATCTACCAAGGTCGACGGTTCGTTGCCCATGGTGCGAGGCAATCGGCCGGAATTGGGCCTGGCGGGTTGATGTCGGGGTCTGCGGTGGCGCCCAATGGTGACGAAGAAATTGTGAAGAGAAGTGGACGAGTCAGAAGAGGCTGGGTAAAGTCGGGGCTTTGTTAGATCACTAATGATCAAGGTTGATGATTTCCATTTAACCTGGCGGAAAGAAAATTGTATGGGGAAATAATCTTGAATGACGTCGAATCGACGGTTTACCCGATCGGGTCTTCTCTATTCATGCCTGAGGCATTAATACTTCACTGTGAATTTTTTGACACTGCTTGGTCTGAAAGCAACCCAGTCCCTTTCATTTACCGCCTTCCTCTTCCATCCTTTCAACAACATGCCAGATTAACCCCATTTCACTCCCAATTCCCCTGTTCCCTTTGGTCAGTTGCTCGTTCGCAACTGCCGTAGTGGACAATGCCTGAAGCCAATATCGGCGATATCAATGGACATGCGGTGGCCTCGTCTCCTTCTCTAGACTCTAGCAGGCCTTATGCGAGCTCCTCGTCCGATATCTTCAATGCCAGCTCTCTCGCAGAAATTAAGGCTACTTTATCGCGCCTTCACGAACAGGAGACGTCGGTCACAGCTCGATTAGATGCCCTCGTCGCCTCTCAGAAGGATTTTTCACGTGAACTAGGTCGATTGGATTTGCTCCGTGCGCATCTCGGCTCCCAAACCACCACCACTCGATCCATCAGCCATGGCATGCTCACAGAGGCCGCGGCCACCGCAGAGAGAATCTCAAGCGCAGTCCGCCGCCTGGATCTGGAAAAATCTCGGGTAAAATCTACTTTAGATGTGGTGGAACAGGTTTCTGAACTCAAGGCCTGTGTGCTAGGAGTCGCGGGCTCCATGGGTGCCCCGCAGGATTGGGAAACAGCAGCCAGCTATCTGAATCGGGCATCCAAAGTCCCACCAGAAGTTGTTCATGGAGCTTTCGCGGCTGAGATGGTGCCTACGGCGGAAGTTCCGGACCCGCCAAATGTAACCTTGGATAATGCTGCTGAATCCCTCTGTGGCTTGTTCTTGCGCGAATTCGACAGGGCCGTCAAGGAGAGCAATGGCGCCAAGATAACGCGGTTTTTCAAGTTATTTCCTCTTATCGGCCGCTCAGATGTTGGCCTTGACGTCTACGGGCGTTACGTATGCCAGGGTGTGGCGTCACGAGCGCGATCCAACCTCAATGCTGGGGCAGGAACTCAAAGCCAGGATGGCTTCTTTTACGCAAATGTTCTGACCAAATTGTTTGAACATATCGCTCAAATTGTTGATGGTCATGGGGGACTGGTAGAGCGACATTACGGTCCGAGAAAGATGAACCGAGTTATTGAGCGACTACAGCTTGAGGCAGATGTCCAAGGCGGTATCATTCTCGACACCTGGGGTGATGAGAGGCATGTGGATCGCAAGCTGACTGACATCAAATCATATGCATTTACTTTTCTAGTACAAAGCTTTCTACCTCCTCAGCGCAGTGCCACACCGCGGTCGAACTCCCCTGCAAACCGGGATGGGGCTTCAGCGGCTGAGGATGAGGGTGTTGACATGAAAGAGATCGACGGAATACTAAATGAGATGGCAGTTATGCTAGGTCGTTGGTCACTATATTGCCGATTCTTGGCGGAAACATGCAATGTGGGTCATAAGTGAGCCTTTATCGTTTTTGCCAGCTAACGTTCATAGACTCCTGACGAAGACGACAAGTCGTATACGCCGCCTCAATTCCTGCAGCAATCCACTTTATCGAAAAAGGTCAATGACCGACTTATTTCTCCATTTAATGCCATGACCACCTTCTTCTTCCGCCGGACAGTTGAGAAGGCATTCCAGCTGGATGAACAGCCCACTGGTCTGACATTAAACCCGCAGAGGCCACTAAAGGCTGACCCGCCATATATCACCTCGGCCGTCGATGACATCATGTACATAGTCAACAAAGTCCTACAGCAATCACTTGCAACGTCACAAATCGCGGTAGTTACTAATGTTGTGCCGACTCTGTCTCGTGTGCTAGGGTCAGATTTCATTGGAATGACACAACGGAAAATGCGGGATGAATGCTATCCGAGAGCATCAGTACAAGGAGCTCAGCCTCCGGAGCATCTGATAGTCTCTTTTCTAGTCTTGGTCAATAATCTGGATGTAGCCGTTGATTACATCCGACGCATTGTCCAGACGCATACCGAAACCAGGAAGACTATAACTGGTCCCAACGGGCAAACTGAAGAGACGGACCAACTACATTCCCTCTTTCCTATCACTGCAGATGCCAAGCTCGCAGCGCAGACGTTGCAAGCCCTATCATCATCTTTTGAGTCTAAGGTCAACGACCTTCTGTCCGATGGCATTCAAGTCGTGTTCAACAACGTCATCAAGCATCGCCTGCGGCCCATTTTAGCAGACGCATTCCGAGATATTGATTATCAACCCGGAGGTGACAATGACCCCACCAGCACTTCGTACCATGAGTACGACCGTGACGAGGATGTGGATGATACTGCCAGCCGTGCGGAACTTGTCCGTCCGCGTTTTGCAGTCAGTTGGGCTGAACTCCTTGTCCCAATATCTCGTATACTTACGGCGTCTGCCTTTGACCGTCTATTAACTATCACGGTGGCTTATCTCTCCCGACTTTTGGAGAAGCGACTCTGGTCGTATCAAGGTCGTGTCAACGCACTAGGCGCCACACGACTAGAACGAGACATCTCGGGAATTGCTAGCGCGGCAGTGGATGTTGGCGGCACGCATGGCGCACCAGGAAGATACCGCCACCGGGAGGCATTTGCTCGCTGCATGCAAATGACGTTAATCATGGGCATGGATGACGACGAATGGGAGGATGTATTACGTGGAGGCGAGACAGCGAAGTAGTCGAGAAGCTGTCCCGAGAAGAACAGGCAAGGGTTCGAGGAATGGTGAGACGACAGAACACTCAATACTAGCTTAGTGGCAAGCTAACTGGCGTCACTTTACCAACGAGTATTTTAATATTGTATATTCCTCAAATATGTTTAAGCACTGCAAATAACTTTCAGACACTTTTATAGAACAACTAAATATTTCTCTTTCTCAATCCCCCTTTCTTTTCTTACATCTTCTGGTATTCTGCTACACTATCATATATTGATGCATAGTAGTTGAAGAAATATATGGAAGAATGTTATCGATTATTCTGAACCATCCAGGGATTATCTCTGCTTAGAGACCCTATCTAGGCTTCCTTGATTACCTACTTCTTTGTTCCTCATTCCTTTATCTGCTAGATCAAGCCGGGCATACTTTCCAAACCAGTAATAGAGTGAATAATTAGGCAGCTATATTCACAACAGCAGTAGTACTAGAAGGTGTTCTTGAACAGGCAGCCAACGCATTAAATTAGGGTTAGGGGCTTACCACGGGTAAGGGATAAAGATTGCCGATCGACGTACTGACTTGATTTTAAGGGTTGAATAGATAGATAATTAATGTCATTAAATAACATTTTTCTGACAAATCTATGCATGTGGTATCCGGAAAGATAAAATCCCCCAAGCAAGCTCTAATTATATACAGATGGAGACACACGCTCATATCAATCCTAAACGCCAGTTCCAACCAACCCCAAACCACAGGTATCAAATACAAGAGAAAATTCTGGCTCAGCCAAAATGGTTAAAGCAAAGAAACGCACGCTGGATATCACGGAAAACACAAAATCATAGAATGGAACAGATCCAGAGTCCTGGCACATTACTGTGCTTTCTCATCGTCCTCGACACTAGGCGGTATTGATCCCTCGTGAGCGGGATGTCGTTCGGCAACTTGACGTGGCGCAGGTGCCATTGCTGGCGCAGGTGCCGGTGCTATCTTTATTTCATGGATTCCGGAGTCGCCTTCGCTGCAACCACGACTGTCAATGCCAATGGGAGTGTGGCCATCAAGCATCATTTCGCTGTGCTCCCCGATGCCGTACCGAGCGGCAGCGGGAATATGGTGGCCATCTTCGAGCTGGTCATGTTTCTGAGGGGTCCATGCAAGATAGTCACGACGGACTTCGACGTAGTCGTAGGCGAACTCGCCAAGCTGGTCGTCGTCCATACCGAGCAATTCGGCTTCCTCGGAAGCTCGCAGCTTCAGGCCAGGGATTGCGTTGATGGCGTAGGCAATGATGGCAGACACAACGAAAGCATAGGCGGCTGAGGCGACAATGAAAGCGATTTGAATGTAGAGCTGCTTGTAGTTGTGGATCAGCCATCCACCCATTCCGCTACCAGTATTGACTCCGTCCAGCCCTACGATCGCATCGTCGGCGAAAAGCGCGTTGAAGATAAGACCGACAATACCCGCGATGCCGTGCTCAGCTAACACATCCATGGAATCGTCGATACGAATCCAGTATTTCACTATAAATCCAGTCAGTTTACTATTTTTTGGCTGGGACATCACAAATAGAACTTACCCTTTGTAGAGTAGTTGCAAACAATACCAGTGACTATACCCAGAATCACACTAGCCCAAGGGGTAATGAAGCCCGATGCTGGGGTAGCTGCAACCAGACCGGAGATGGTACCAGAACACCAACCAACCATGGACCATTTCCTCGCTAAGCGCCAATCGAGAAGGACCCAGCTAATGGCCCCAAAAGCCGCAGTCAGGTTGGTATTCCAGCACGCCATAGTAGCACGAAGATTAGCTCCAAAGGCTGAGCCACCGTTGAATCCAAGCCATCCAAACCACAAGAAAACGGTTCCGAGGAGAATGAGAGAGACATTGTGAGGGCGGAAGTTCAACATCATACGCTCCTGGCGACGACCAAGCACCATTGAATAGGCGAGTGCGGAAAAACCGGAACCAATCTCGACTGGACCACCACCTGCATAGTCCAACACACCATATTTCATTGCCCAGCCATTCACATTCCACACCCAGCAAGCCAAGGGACAGTATACAATTGTAGCCCAGACGAACACAAACACCATAGCCGGGAGCAAGCGTCCGCGTTCGGCAACAGCTCCCATGATAATCGCAGCAGTGACACCACAGAATTGCATCTAATAAACACTCGAAGTTAGTCATCTTCGCCTATGTGGGTAGGCCCAGAAACTAACCTGATAAAAGGCATAGAGAAGATTGGGCACAAGAACGGAACCGGGACTTGGATCGGCCAATGTCTTCATCAGGCCGAAGTTACGGAGGTTCCCGATGTATCCGTTGGTGGCCGTAGGCGAGAATGCAAGTGAATAGCCCCAGAAATACCACTGGAACGTGACGACAGAGAAAGAAGCCATACAAGCCCAAATCATACTCAGGGCTGATTTACGACGAGCAAGACCGGAGTAGAGGAAACCGAGACCGGGAATCATGACCATGACCATGGCGGAAGCCACGATGATGTACGCTTGATCGCCGGATTGAAACCACTTGTTCACATTCTCCACCCCTGGTAAGATAATTAGTCTTAACGAACAAGAAAAATCCGGGATATTTGTTGTTTAGAACATACTGGAGTCGCCACCCAGCTCATTGGTCGCCAGCGAGTCATAGTTAGATGGGGCTCCAGTCCAGTTGTAAGATGCATAGTCAGGGACGAAAGGCGCTTTAATGTCCGACATGTTATATACCAATTCTTTGCAGTTCTGTATGAAATCTCGGGTTCAGGCACGCGGTGCCGATTATTTCTCGTAGCAGCGCCACCGCCTGGGAGCTGAAAGAGGGCGGATGGTGGGTGTTGATGGGAAAGAGACAGTGATACAAAAAGCTTCGGTTGTGTGAGGACGAGGGAAGAAGCAGGGGGCTCGTTTGTTGTGTCTGTCAGTCGAGTGTCTCACCTTCTCTCTCGGGAGGAATGCAGGACAGAATGGAAAAGAGAGAGAGGAACTCCGCCAGGTTGTGTATGTGTGTGGAGAAAAAAACCGCCACGGGGGCGGAGATGTTGTAGTATATAAAAGCAGGCCGAGCGTTCTGGAAAAGATACGGCCAGTGGGTCGGCAAGTGGACGGGACGAATTTGCGTTTGCAAATCTGAACGAGTCAATTGAAAGATAAGTCCAGGCCTACAGTGAGCAGGTCACCACTAGGGCGCGATAATTGATCGGCACGGATTCCAAGGCCAAGGGTAAGTGGGGACAGTTGGAAAGAGAAAATGGGCCTTTTATTTGTTATGCCCAATCAATCCATCAGTCAGTCATTTACATAAGACTTGTTGGAAACTCTGTTCAGACGGCGTTGATAAGTTGAAGGATGTAGATAGATAGTGTTTATACGAGAACGCGGTCAATCAGAAGAGATAGGACAGGACAAAGAAAAAGAAAAGGAAAGGAAAGGAAAAGGATCATCGAGCAACCTAGCGAGGGAGGCGCGGAGAAAGGGAAAGGCAAGGTAAATGATAAATTGAGTGGGAAAAAAAAAATAATATAATAAAAATAAAAATGCCAAATACTCTGTAGTCAGAGATAACAAGATGTGAGAAATCGAATGGAATAAAATAAACTCAAGCTTACAGTCAATCGACGGATCCTCACGATTCTCCAATCAAATCACCCCCGTTCATGAGTATGGGAATCAGACTTTAAACACCAACCTCGTTTCAATACCTTTTTTTTCTTTTTTTTTAAAAAAAAAAGAAAAAAGAAAGAAAAAAGAAAGAAAAAACTGGCTGTCCATCTTCACCTTGCTCCATTGCATCTTCTGATGCAAGTTCAACATCACTTCATGAACCATTCATCTGTTGGTGGCAAATGGGGTTGTCTCTCTTTTTTCTTTTTTTCTTTTCTCCTTTTTGCCCTAAAACGTGGCGAAGTGTGTAAACATAGTACAGACTAACTACTAGTTAGTTGATTAGTTCCTTTGGTACCCTAGGTAGCAGAAGTAGCATCTGAATGTCCTTTCTCTTCCTCCCCCACGGGTAATCGTCAGGGTCGCTGACAACTTCTTTTATCATGATCCACAGTTCATATCACATCCAAGATGAACCGCATCTCCTGATCAATAGAGGCCCCCTCTTCAGCCTAAACATCTCAGTGAGTCTCTATCGGGGCACTTGGCATTGGTTCTCTATAGAGTTTGGCCGAGACCGAAATAGGCATTGCGAGGGAGATGTGATGATGCTGAGATGAAACCAAGCGATACGGAGCTGAACGCTCCGGAGAGAGGCGGAGCAAGCTCCTACTCAGAGAATGAATGGGCTCTGGGTGTTTTATATATACTTGTAGACCAGATGATCTATACACTACGAAATGCTGCATATATCTATCTATCCGATTCTGTGTTTCTCCGTACCTCCAGCTATCACTGATAACGTCCAGGCCTTTTAAGGGTCTGGGTTATATCGGGCATTCGTCCTGGAATGCCTTGACGCCCAATCCTCTGGTTGGTATCTGACGAAGGGATCCATCCGCCAGTGATGAGCGGAGCCTAAGGAAAGACAAATAAAAAAAATGCAGTGGCCCTTATCATCCCCGTTTCTCTCAACTCATAGTTATCTCCCGAATGATTGGCTATGAGGTCCCGATAAGGTCCTGGACGCCACCCTCCCGCCATGTGGGGCCTCTGCATCCGGTTCCGGCCTAGTCTTGGCTCTTCAGTCTCCATCGTACTGATAACGTCCACTTTCGGCCAATGACCGCTCGGTCGGTTCCTCGACAGGCTCCCTCAATCACCCGAATTCACTCGGGAATTTCAGGAGCGATGCTTCGCCGACTAAGAGTACCATCCCGAACCGATAAGAACCTCCGGAGGAATTGTTATCTAGCTGGGGCTTGGCTGTGAGGAAGAGATATTAGAGGCGCCTCCTCAATGGTCCTCAGGGTACGGAATAAAAAGTCCCCCACTAAGCATGCTCGGATTATTCCTTACTAGGTAGTAGTACTTTGTAGAGCTTCTTGGCTAACTTTC